ACACTGTGTCTAGGCGCTTACGTGGGAACAAAAGTGAGTCCATCTGTTACCTCTTATGAAGTGTCATCTAATAACTATTCAGGCAGTGAGTGACATGATCCAGTGCGAATGTACCCAAATATTGACAATCGAGTCTCTAGCTTGCTTATCTCTTTACTGTTGAGAAAGCGGTACGTTGTCAGCTCTTTCCTCCACGTCTTTGCTACTTGCTCATTCTTGCTCAGCATATCATCCGGGGAGCGACCAAGGCACGCCACAGATCTAAGCTGTACACATGCAACACTATTCTCATGCTAGGTATGGTTTTCACTCTTGCAATGTCGTGGATTGAATCATCTAATGGATTTGACGAGCAGGTACATACGGCTTCATTACGATGTTCAATTTTCACTTGTAAGTACCTGTACCCCGACGCCGCAACAGATCTATCTTCAGTACTCACACCCTTTCCAGCCGCGCGTCATATTATGATTCAGCAAGCGACACATGCGTCATCGGCCTCGAGCGAGCAATTTTGATACCCATCATTGTTTTTGATGCTCTCGTCAACGTATGAAGCTTTTCTGCCCTTGACTCCGCTCAACACCAAGCTTATGTACGCCCCACAGATTTACCTCACCTCCCTCTTCCTGATCCCATTACTCAGTAAGTTGCTGCCCGGCAGACCCCCGCTTCAATACTTCCGAAGCTTACGCAATCAGAGTTGCATTCTATCCAAGCATCAATACTGAGGCCATGGACGATGGGCTCAAACCACAGGCATCCCCGGACTCCACCGAACGTCCGGCTTCGCAGGCTAGCACTGCGCACTTTCCTTGGCGCTCTGCTCACCTTGACCGTCAGCTTAACGTAAGACTGCTCTTGCAAATACCTCTCGCAAACTACTCACTGATCTTGCAGGAACCTATCGGTGCTGGTCGCACTTGGCGGGGAAGTGGTATGGCTGTGTCTTGCATGTTGTAACACCGACAGTAAGTTGAAACGTCGCAAAGTGTGAGACCTCCAAAAACTCAAAATCACTAACCTCAACCAAGTTCTCATCACAGCATTTCTAATTCAATGGACAAACACAAGTCCGAAGAAAGTCGCGAAGGAGACCCCAAACGTTGAGGCTCAGCCCATGCCAGACTTGACGCCGGAGCTGAAAGATAGTTGAGGGGCCTGTTACTACCCGAAGAAAACAGATTATGGCGCACGGCAAGGAGGCCTACTGACTGGGGGTAGACGGGTGGCCTCTGTGCACAGGAGGGACGGTAACGGAGGACCTGCCGCAAGCGGCATCCAAAAGTACATAGCATCGCCAAGCTGCAGAATGTGAGGCGAAGCGGAAGCATTAGCATTGAGCCAGCGAGGCCATCGATTGAAGCATCCGTTACCAGATATACAAAGCCTTCATTAATCTGGGAAAAACGTAAATATTTCTCTAAGTTCGTTGAACTCAAGGGGTTCCTAAGAGCTACAGTAAATACTCTAGTATTTGAACACGCAGAGATTCGTTGGGTAACGAGATGTAATTGCATTGATCCAAAGTCTTCCCATCGTGAAGTCTGATAAAATATCAAATGATATCGAAAAGACTCATTTCGCCCCTATCGCGAATATCATCATCATGTTGCCAGATCCCGAGCCTCCGGAGAAAGAAAAATGTGAATCTCGGCCGACGGACTCTTCAAGATGTCCAGGAATTCTAGTATTGTCCGGATGTCAAAACACCCAGAAAGGCGTTAAAGTTCTCTCTCATTGTTGTAATTGTGCCGACTAGATCGAACCCCCTATAATAGTTGTTTCGGAGTTGATTCAGGGGTAGGCCGTGAACGGGGAGAGCAACATGGATCTCAGCGAGATCTGGCCGATCCGAACACTTATGAGAGGCAACGTGGCGGATCGTACGATAAGGCAGAATCGGCGCGGTCCAGGTCGAGCTTTGCGTCGTATTAAGCGTCGTATGAGTCGCCCTTGGCCAGTCCAAGCGTCCCGCCCGTCGTCGTGGTACACCCCTCGTCCTTGATCAACTAGGAAGTTCTCCACGAGAGGTGGGAATCCTTAGTTTCTGGGTCTGTTTTGGTTTCGAGAGCGTCTAATCACGCTGCGCCCTATGAATAACTCTATGTATAGGTGACAGAAGCAAGAGGGGATCAGCGAAAGCTTGCACGGGGTATTGTTTTGCATCTCAGATAACTTGAATATGGTCATGTCATGCGTCTTTTTTGCTCATCAAAGATCACATCGTCTTGGGCAGTTCCTCTGGGATCGAGTCTCCCCGTGTCGGCGACAAGGGAAATGAGTCGTGAATTAGGGGTCTAAAGGACGTCAAGGAACCCTTCGTCAAATTGCCTAGGAAACATTGACCAAAGCCTCGAGATTGTGGAGTCCTTACGAATGTGGGTCATTTCAAGTAGGGTTGTGAGCCGAAGACGGGATCTCTCGTGGTAGCCCTTGACCACGAAGGATGGTCGCTCGGGCCGATTTGGCAGAGGGGATTTGGGATTTCCATCCATTGCCCTCAAGCGTGATGAAACCAAACGAACACTATGTCTCGTATGACTCACAGCATAGTCAAAGCTCTCTACAGTGAAATGGTAGATGTATCGCTCAATGTAGAATTATTCTCTTGATGAATCCTCATTTTGTGAACTGAAAGCTGTTGGGGGTATGGCTATCAAGTTGGCTAGCCAAACGTGTAATACTTAAGGTCGGCCGAATTTCCCTACCCATTCTCAAAAACGCCTGAGTGGCATAGTCTACCATATCTATGTTCACCACCGGTTGACCACTCGACCAGAAGAGAGTATCATATATGTTACGAGCATTAATGCTTATAAAACCTTTAGTTTCAGTCCATGGACCGATGAAAGCATACGTACATCATACACGTGGTGATTCACGACAGCAATTGAGGCTAATGGTGCCTCCTAGGCACGGTACTGAACAATTGATGCACTAAAAAACAACGACAAGGTCCTCAATTCGCCCTAGATGAGTCTAGTATGCACCCTTGTCTCTGGTTGAAGATACTTGACGGTCATGTCGGGTGGTTTCGACGAAACCAACTCTTACTTACGCATACCCTTGACAGAAAATGTTATTGAACTGATCCAGAAGTTTCACAAGAGTCAGCGTACCTTCATCGGGTTACATTTCAAAGACGCAGCGTTTGGCATTGGTGAGTATCTAGGCACATGGGGATGTGGGGTGAGGTGATCCATGGCGATCGAGCAATGCCGAACTTGAGCGTACGATTGGCTGCTTAGTGATTTACAACATCGCCGGCCCTACTAGTTGACAGACTTTTGTAACACACGACACTCGCCCGATCGAACGCATTAAGCTGGTGATTCGGCTTATTGTGCGTGAATGCAGTTTCGTTACTATTAAGAATGTAGTCAATTGAGAGTTCCATCTGTACTTAACCCAATCAAGATCTGTGGCTACGAACGTTGGGGGTGATGTGGCAAAAGCATCACCGTTGAGGCTGGGTGGGCTCAGGCCCTCAGCATGCCCCTCACTGAGCAGACTTTGAGACATGGAGCTGGCGACAATGAGGCAAATCAATATGGAGGTCCTGCCAATTTACTCAATTCTGTCTCCTTTTCCCATTAAAAATATATCTGCTTTTTGCATAGAGTGATGGTGAACAGTCCCGGAATAATGATGTCGCCTCTCTAAACATAGCCAGGTGTTGCTCTCTCTCGGCCGCCAGCTCCCTCGGTCCCGTTCCGTTGCGGGGTAATAAGACAGGCGCCACCCTCATTCATTCCAGGGGGACCCCTCGCCATCAGTGACCTCTGCTGAGCATCTCAATCTCGTCGAGAAGAGACGACAGCACGATCGATAGCATGCGTTTTCCAAAGCTCCCGGCGAGAGCCACGTACATCCATCTTAACAATCCGGCTCGACGCAATGCCCTGAGCCTCGAGGTCCTCGAGGACCTCCGATCGCAGCTACTGACGAACCTAACTTCACCAAAATCAGGGCGTCTCATGACCCTTCCTCCATTCAAGCCAGGTATCCTCCACGAGCTGGAAAGAGTCAGCGAAAGCGCCGCCCCGGACTCAAAAGAAACTTCAGAACACAGCTGGCTAGTCGACGCCAACGCGTGGGCAGAAGAACGTGCAGCCTTGCCCAACGTCCTCGTGCTGCGCAGCTCAGGCCCAGTCTTCTCTTCCGGCCACGACCTCAAGCAGCTCGCATCGCTCTCCCACGCCGAGGTCAAGCGCACCTTTGCCCTCTGCGCCGAAGTCATGTCTCTCATCCGGCACAGCCCTGCGCCGGTTGTCTGCCCGATCCAAGGCTTGGCGACCGCAGCGGGACTCCAGCTCGCCCTCTCCACGGACTACCCAATCGCCCTGTCCACGACCAGGTTTCAACTGCCCGGCGCAAGCATCGGGCTGCCGTGCACGAGCCCCGCCACGGCCGTGTCGCGCCGCATCCCACCGGCGCAGACCTACCGCATGCTTCTGACGGCTGAGGCTGTCACTGCCAACGTGATGCGGGATGCCGTTGACGTGGTCACGGAGCCTGAGCACGCAGAGTCAACTGACACGGCCGCTGCAGCGTTCGAGGGGCGTGTCGCGGAGGTTGTGGAGCGATTGGCGGGCTCGGCAGGTCAGCCGATGGCCCTGGGGAAATGGGCGTTCTGGACCCAGCTCGGCATCAACGGCAAAGACCACGACGGGAAGGGTGGTGATGGGTACGAGGATGCAGCGAGCTGGGCGGGGAGAGTCATGGCTTTGCATGCCAGGGCCGCTGATTCGAGAGAGGGCATCGCAGCCTTCACGGAAAAGAGGAAGCCGTCGTGGAAGACATGAGCTCCCACTCCCCGGGCCCTGGAGCCCGAAAGCAACAAAAGGCCGGGTCACCCCGAGAGCCTTACCCCACCATCCCCGCTCCGAATCTCCACACCGATCGGCCGGCCCACCGGGCCCCGCACAAAATGAAAAATCTTCACACACAAAAACAAGGAAAAAATGATGCTCGAGCACTCAACTCAGGATCCTAATTGACCAACGCGGGTCTCGAACCCGCAGCCTTCAGATCACTGATTCCAGTAGAAGTCTGACGCGCTACCATTGCGCCAGTCGGCCTGTTTCCTGAGTTGTTTGTTTCCAAGCTCCTGTGGGGATGCTGACAACCAGGCGCAAACAGTGAGAAGAGGGTTACACCCAGGAAACATTGACTCATTCACTCTTTCATGCACCCATTTCAAAGCTCATCGCTTTATTTGACCCATTGCTGTGAATAATGATTCATCTGCGCCTCCTTCCATGTGTCCAGGCGTATTTCCGGGACACATAATCCTTCCTACCAATACTCATCAGTTCAGTGCAACTGTTTGCTGTGAGGATCAAGACCGTCCGAGATTTCGCATACTTGCATCCGTGGCCATTTCAGGCGCCCAAATTAGTCTTGAATTTCCAAAAGAAAGCACTGCACCTCATTTCAGCTCTGATACACCAGCGTAGCTACCAGTCAATGTTTCATCTGTCCGCATGGCGGAATAGCGCACTCCGTGGCGTCGGTGCGACGCCCTCATCGCGCGCCAGCGACGCCACGAATCCATCTCCTTGGTGTAGAAATGAGCAGGGAAATTGAGTGATCCCAGAGGATTAACAACGCAACACTGGATTTTAGGAGAGATTCATGCGCAGACTGTGGCGGATATAAACCAAAGGCTGCCGCCAAGACAACTGATAGCATGTTCCTCGACCAAGCCCTCCAAGCTCTCCAACTTGTCTTTCGTTCTCTTTCCAACTCACCACATTCTTTTTCAACTTCATTCCAAAATGCTGTTCAAGACCAGCTTCACGTTTTTCCTTCTCTCCTTCGTCGCAGCGCGATCGATCAAGGCCCCTCGTGCCGCTTACCCTTTTAACAACCTCGTCGCATACGGTGATGAGCTTTCCGACAATGGAAACGGTAGCTTCGCTCATGGCATTACCGGAGACCCAGCCAACGTTTATGGCTTCGGCACCTGGACCAATGGCCCGGTCGCCGTCTCGTACCTCGCGGATCTCCTCAAGGTCCCTATGACCGACTATGCCTTTGGCGGCTGCTGCGGCGGTGGCTCTTTCGGCGCGACCTTCGACAACGCCTACACCAAGTCGCCCGCCGGGGCAACAGACATGCTCGGCCAAATCTCGAACTACACTGGCACCGGCTCAAAGGGCATTGCTTCCTCTCTGCAGTTCTTGTGGTTCGGAGAAAACGATCTCAGCATGCACACGGACGCCTTCTGGCTCGGCGATGCCAAGAATGCGCAATTCGCAACCGATGCCGCGGCGAAGATCACAGCCTCAGTCAAGGGCCTGCTCGACAAGGGTGCGCCGTACGTCATGGTCGCCAACATCTACCCCAAGCATCTTGCGCCGGTTACGCCAAAGTACCTCTGCGGTACCAACGCGGACTGCGTCAAGACCTGGGGCCAGGTCATCACCTCGGCCAACGCCGCCATCCAGAAGAGCCTGGGCCAGTTCGGGAAGAAGGTCATCTACTACGACGTCTTCAGCTACATGGTGCAGATCCTGAACAACCCGAAGGCCTATGGCTTTCCCAAGCCCTTGAACCTGTTTTGTGACGGTGATGAGACCGCGCAGTGGGACGACTGTATGGTCAAGGGCAATGCGAACCAGTACTTCTGGATGAACTTCATCCAGCCCACCACGGCTGGCCACAAGTTGATTGCTCAGGATATGAAGAAGACCATCGATGCTCATTTCGCTTAGGGTGGGTAAAGTTGCTGGCTTAGTTGAGATCACTTCACGAAAGTCTGTTTCTTTTGTGGGGCTGCGATTGGGGCCTTGAAGCCTCTGTTTTCTTTTATCTGTACATACTTAGTTGGACATTCTCCCGTATACAAACATTCTCTCCATTGCATATTACCATAAGACCTCGTTTCATCGTCGATGTCAAACCTTGAGTCTTGTGGCGCAACTGCTGTAGCCAGAATTCCTGAGAATGAATACAAGGAAACCAAAGACAAGGAAATTGGCCAAACGGCCGCTGTTTAAAGCCGTTCAGTAACGAAATTCCTTAACCTCGATGCCTTCCGTAATCTTCATGACCTTCCTGATGTCATCAAATGTGACAGAGCGTCCATCCCTTCTTGCCATGATACCGGCGGTCTTGACAATGTTGCGTATCTTCCTGCCATCAATCTCGATGCGAGAGAGAGCCGCAAGATTCTCGTTAGAAAGCTTAGACCCGGTCGTCCCGAGGAAGGTCATCCACACCTTTTTCCTGGACGGCTCATCAAGAGCTGGATAGTTGATTGTGAGATGGACACGGGAATGAATAGCCGGGTCCAAGGACTTCTCGCGATTGGTCGTAAGGAACAGGAGTGAGGGGTAGTACTCCAGCTCTCGCAGGAATCCTATGCATAGTATGTCAGAAAGACGATACAACCTTGTAATTACGGGCATCTCGGTCAACTTACGCGAGACCAATTTGTTACGCTGAGACGAGCTGTCACTGCGCTGCTCCAGGTAAGCGTCGCACTCATCAATGAGGAGGACAGCACCCCATCGTGCGGCAAGCTCGAATGCTCCGGCGATGTCCCCTCTTCTGTGTTGGACCCCAATAGCTACACTTCTCCCACCAGGCCGACGAGCCCGGTGTGGCGGCGTATCGTAATGATCAGGATCGTCCTCATTGTACTCGCCCAGTTCCATCTTGAAGAGTGGAGCCCGTATCTTTTCCGCGACTGTTACATATTACTTAGTAAGACATTGCGGTTGGTATAGGCTCAGAAACCATACCTGATTCAGCAGTGAGAGTTTTGCCAACTCCAGGAGCACCAGCAAGCAAAGCAACGAGACCACCGCCTGGAAAATTAGCATCCAGAAACACGTGAGGGAATTCAATTGTACCTTTGCCGTTGATGACATCGTCGAAGTTATCATTGTCTTTGACCTGGCTCTCCACAAAGGCGAGAATGAGCTCCTTGTATCCATCGGGAAGTACCAGGCTCTCGAATGGCTTCGTGTTCCACTCGATATCATGGATTCGGTCAACTTCAAAGTTTTCTGCATTCACTCGAATAAGCTGGCCGGTTATATAGGATCGAACCTGGCTTGGACTTACCCCATGTTTTCTCCTTGAGATTAAATCCCAGTACACGAGGAACGCACAGTGACAGTCGGAAGTCAGTGAGTCGGCTTCGAGCCCTGTTGATCCTGAGATTTTCTATTTCGACTGGGGCATTTTCGTCAGTAACATTGGATGCACAGACGACAGAACCTGGAAGCTTACAGGGCCTCAGAGGAGGACGACTCGCGTCTGTGTCGTCCTCTGGCAGATTTGGCCGTGGTGGAAACAGTGGATCTGAAGATAACGATGACGATGGTGAAAACTGAGGCGGCGTGTGTCGGAAACCACGCGGTGCATACGGGTCGACCGGAGGCGTTGGATAGACAGGTGGTGCGTAGGGGGCAGGGCGCCTTCGAGGAGGTGGAATGCGCTGTTCACCGTCGTAGTAAGAGTCATTCTCGTCTCCGCTGCGCTCGCGCCGAAGAGGTACATGGCCCTTCGGTGGTGGTGTATCAACAGGCCCCTGTATTATCAGCTGTGTCCGTTGGTAGAAGACAGAGGCATCGTCCCGATCTCCAAACGAAGCGCCGACACCACCAGAGCGTCTATCATAATCTGTATCGATCATGACTCGAATTTCTGCACTCGGGTCATCGAGTCGATCGGGGCGGTAGGCCTTGTAGTGCTTCCCAACGAGACTGGCGAATCTGCGACCCCTTTCGATCAACCGCTTCTGGACACCATGGAATTCATCGTGGTATTTTGCAGGGTAAAGCCTCAGCGAGTTGATGGGCCGTGTGCCTCTGAACCGGGGAATGTACTCGCTCTGGACAGCTACACCAAAATCGTCGCCGCTGCAATTGACGTAGTTGAGCCAAAGTTCGACTTTGGACGGGTCCGTGTTGTTAGTGTGTCCTTGAAGAACGAAGAAACGGTCACCGTCCAGGCGGCAATCCGAGTAGACGACTTCGCCTGGAGCGAAGAGAGTCCAGAGGTAGTCGTACGTAATCATGCCGTGACTGATGAGCTCCTTGCTGACGGCAAAGGCCCCTGCGAGCTCGCGCTTGACGATGGACCTCAGAATGGTCAAGATCTTCTTAACCTGCTCGTCCTCCTCGTCGGCGATAGCCTTCTCGAATGCCTCCCAGCGCCAGAAGAACTGATGGAAAGGCGCCAGGAAGGCAAGGTATTTGAGATCATGAACGATGCCGTCGTAGGGTTTGAAGACATCAATGAGGACTTTGCGAGTCGCTGCGTGGCGGATGTCGATGGAGTGGATTGTGACCAGACTGCCTGCCTTCCCGGGAGTGACTCGGCGTCTCACGATGATCGGATTAGACTCGTCGTCGTCACTCTCGTCTTTCTCAAGGGCGGCCAAGTCCACACCATGAGGACATTCAGTCATCCAGTTGATGCAGCATTGGCACTTCTTGGGGCCTTCGTAGAGGTCTTGAACGATGGCGTTGCGGTCTTCTTGGCTGATCTTGACCTCTTCCTCAGCCCTGATGGTCTCGGTCAGACGATCGATGACAGAGAAGGAAAGATCATCTTCAAGTCTCGTCGATTCCACTATGTCAAGATCAGACGCCATACTGGGCGCTTCGAATACCAATGTCTTTGGCGTGGCCTAGTGACGTAAATGTGAAGCTGGACAGAACCCAGGAAACAGGTGAAGGGCAGATTCGGTCCCTTTAAATCTCAACAACACACCTTATCATGCAGCCACTAGCTGTGGCTGTACAATCGCCTTCGTCCCCCTTCATGTTTCGGGGCTGATACATGGTCTGCTGCATGTAAGCCCTAATGCTGTCGTGATCTTGGCCTTGTAGACGTACAACAGAAAAGCAGAACCTGGAAAGCGATTGCGTTGCGTCCAATCAAAAGTCAAATGCGAAACCAAGTCCAGGCATGAATGTGAAAATGCACACACTAGTGAGGACTATGCATGAGAAACACGTCAGATATTTTAGGCAGACCATGGGGCTGACTTTTCCACTTTCGAAAGCCTAAGTTCTGAATGATTACTGTGAACCTCCGCAGAAAGCCACAAAACTACATA